AAATTTGTCCCCTTTTTTTTCTTTGGAAAAACAATAAAAGTAAATCAAATAAATCATTCTAAATGGACTTCAGGAAGCAAATGTCATCCGGCCGACGGCGACGTAAAAATAAAAAAACAACTCAGATTCGAGTGAGAGAAACTTTGCTTGTAGAAATCGAAGTGTCGAGATAATGCGATTAAAATGGCAATTTATCACCAATAAGTGATTGGAAAACGAGATTTTACAAGATCATTTGTCTTTGCTCAATTTCGCATTTGGAAAGAAAATTTAAGTACACTTTGAAGAAACGTTCATTCACCCACCTTTAATGCTCATTGAGAAAATAAGGAAATACTTTTTTAGAATTGGCCTATCAAATATATATATATATATATATATATATATATATATATATTCTACAGTTCTAACAGAACAAACAGTCTACAATTCAAAAGTTCTAAAATTTTTAATATCTCATCATATTATTTATTCAACTGAAATATATGATCTTATATTATTTTAATTTTTGGTACATAAGCTGCTCTCCGGTAATAATAATGTAGGCTTTACACTTTATTGTATATTATATTCTAATATTATATATGCTCATAATTTCAGCTAAACTCAAATTTTAAGTGAATCGACATTTCTAGCAGATGACAGTTCAAATGTTTTCAATGTCAAACAACGATGAGTGTTTTTTTAATTTTTGCCATTTATTTCTATAATATAACTATAGTTTTATGGTTCATTAAATCTTAAAAACTTCCTTTGACAAACTCTAAAATGAATTATCAAAATCCGAATAACCGTTTAGGAGAAATATAGAATCATACACAAAGTGAAGAAATTTATATAATCTTTTTTATTTCCATAACTTTCGACATAAATTTTACTCAAGTGTTCTTAATTACCTAACGATAATTCACAATAAAACAATTGAAATAGCTCTTCATATGTATTTATTCAAATATTAGTAAAAAGCTATTAGATTGGCAAATAATTTTGATGTTAACCCCCTGGAGGTTAAACAAATGGTTCATGTGATTGTACTTTATAAATTTAATCAAACTTCTCTCTGACTCGTTGTTAGTCGCCGGTTTGCAATATTAATTATTTTATCATGGTCGTTGTCAATTTCAAACCAAATTCAAAATGTGGTTGATGTGTATCACATCAATATTGCTGAATCGAAATTTCGTCGTCACTTTTGTGACACAATTGTAGGGTTAACATATTTTCTCTATATACTTTAGGTACTCTATACACTTTTAGGTCTTTATATACTTTTTCTGGGTTGATCAACATTTTTTTATATTGAAATAGTAGAATATGTTGACAATTACAACATCTCTTTATTTAAAAAAACATAGAGAATTTACTTCTAACATAAATTAATGTATGTTACGCACTTCATATAATTATAAGGCTTTTATCTGAAATAGATCAGTATCTAATTTTTATTATTAAATACTCACTACAAATTATAATTGAAAATACCTAGAATTTTATATGTTTACTATAGGCTGAATTTTTAACTTCCCGTAGAGCAAGTTATAGTAATCGCAAAAAAATCGAAAATGAAAATTTTTATATATCTTTACGTTTCAGAGGTTTCTGAATATTTTGGCATACCTTAGAGAAAATGGATGTATGTGTGTGTGTGTATGTGTGTGCGTGTATGTATGTGTGAGCGGATACAAATTTTTGTCGACGATTTCGGGAACACGGATGAAGCAATTTGAATAATTCAAAAAACATTTGATTTGTATTAATAAGGAGACGTGCTGATTAGTTTTTGGCGGAGGCAGGTCTAGCCGTTCCGAAGATATGGGGCAAAAAGTTCCAAAAACGGTACCTCAGTTTTTAAGAAAACGGAGCGTCCGATTTTAATAATTCAAAAAACATTTTACTTGTATTGACAAGATGAAGCATTGATCAAATTTTCATAATGGCAGGTCTAGCGGTTTCGGAGATCTAACGAAAAAAGTAAAAAAATGCCATTTGGCGATCAAAAATGATCATTAGACATATGCACATCAAATTATCAGATATTTTATAGAAATTTTAACAATAAGTATATATTTTGTTTACATTCCAATGGGTTCCGTACCAATGTTTATCCGTTAGACAGCGACGCGGCGCTTACGCGCTTTATATTTTGTCTCTATGCAGTTAAAGCAGTACGTTCAGAGTTAAGTTCAGATCTTCCAAAATATGTCAAAATAAAGAAAACATTTTTTTTCAAAACAAATTTTTTTTTAAATTTTTTTTCGTTTTTTCAAAAAAAAGTAATTTTTTGTCCAATTTATAGTTTCTCAAAAATCTTATTTTTTCGAAGTAAAATTTTTTCAAAAATGTTAATCGTTTTTAAAAAATAATAATTTTTGGTACGGAAAGTTCCAGCAATTTGCCTTAAGGCACGATGCCTTAATTGCTTTAAGACAGAATTCTACTTACAGCTAGTTACCTAAGAGGAAAACCAATTTGATTTCTTTAGTGTGTTTAACAGCCCCCAGTTGCCCTCCAAGTATGTGAGTTTGATAAAAAGAGTTATCAACTTCTTTTCCGGTCTTGTTGGCAGACTGAGAGGCGTTCACGCCCGAATTTCGACGCACGGGCAATAATTGCTTATATCGTTTATATCGCCTTTGTAGATTTATTTTATTAGAATCGCTTTCTCCTCGTTCACAGTTGCGTTCACTTCTTAACAATCACTCGGATGATTTTACAGACCATTGGGTCGCATAGCGTAAAAGTGGAGAAAGCCGGCAAGAACAAGATTTGAACGATTCGGATTTGGCAACTACCGTAGGCCCTTCGTTCTGCCGGACGATTGCATCCACATGGAGAAAAATCGCAACATTAGGGATTAGCTCTTAAAGGGATCGAGATTATTTTTATAGGCTTTTTGGTAACATTGCTTACTATTAGATAGTTTATGGACGAAATTTCCATTACGTAAAATTTATTACATATTTTAAATATATATATATATATATATATATATATATATATTGTTGTGCACCCCTGGGTTAACAACAATTTATGTTGAGGCCGTCACCAACAGTTATGTTGCGTCCAATCGATGCCAACAATTAAAATTTAGGTTCTTCTGCTGCTTTTCATAAACTTTACCACTGTGAAATATTTAATTAAACACCTGAAGACATTTATAAATTTTATTTAATTCATTACTTGGTTACACTTAATACACAATTGATATTTTGAATAAGAGTGATGTGAACTGTTTGGCTTTTAGTCAACAAAATGCGCACTGACTTGTTCTCTTCAGGCTTTTATAATCTCTGATGGTGACGTAATTATTCTTCTAGAAATATACGTTAAAATGATTCATACTTGTTTACTTTAGGCGTAGTTGCGGTTACAGATCGGTACACGTGCATGCTTACAATGTTGCTTATCTCTAATACAATCTATGAGCTGTGAGTCAGCAACGAATGCGTCTTTCATATTGACTGTTACATCGATTTACAATATTATTTATAACTATTGTAAAGGGTGAATACCACTACAATATATATATATATATATATATATATATATATATATATATATATATTAGAAATGAGCAACTCACTCCGGAGTGAATCCGAGTGGAGTTGTCTCACCGGATTTGTCATATCTGACTTCCCTAAACTGTTACTAAATCTGTTACTGCGTTTTTGCTTTGGGAAAGAAACTGTCGCTTTCTCGTCTTACAGGCGGTTTTATGACCTTTTAGGTATACGTTTTTTTTTAGAAAATACAAAAATATTACTTCAAAGATACAGAACAATGAAATTGTGTTCAAGTGTGAATAGCTCCAATGTATAATTTATTGGATAGTAAGGGGTCATATTTCTAACTACGACAATCTTTGGCCGTGAATGACGGCAATCAGGAATATACATACCGAAAAATACACGAAACAAAATACATACAATACAATCTAGTTTTTCCATAGCCTGAAATAACAATACTCTAGAGTGCAAAATATATCAGTGACCTCAATAGTATTCAAGCAGCAACAAATATATCGTATTAAATTTTTACTTTTACACAATTATATAATTGTGTAAAAGTAATAATATGCTAATAGAATTACCCGATATAATATTATTTCTCGAATGGAAATAGCAGAAAAAAAAATTAGAAAGCAGAAGTATTATTATTTGGTGAAAATATTTTATGATAAATGTTTTGCTTTTATTACAAAGTTTACTACATTATTTTTATATAAAATTAATCCAAAAAATCAATTATTTTTTCATCAAAAGAAAATAATTAAATTGAATTTGATTCTCAAGTTTTGCGTTTTTACTTTGGTCAACACTATTAAAATTACGAGTCATTGAGTCGATCATGTGGTCGACCGAGAAATTTTACAACTCGTCATTTATTTGTGAATTTTTTAGAAAAATTATTTTATTGATATTTTTTTATTTTATTTTATTTATAAATTTTTATTTCAAAAAATTAAATGGTATTTGACAAATCCTTAGATGCATAAACAACGCACTATAGAACACATTTGTGTCGTGTATTTCGGTTTCAAAGTTGTCGGGGTCATGGAGTTGTTAAGCGGATATAACTCCTCCCTAAAGCGGAGTCAAATCCGAGTCGATCCGGCTTCGGATATGATAAGCCCATCTCTATTATGTACTCGTATATATAAATATATATAAATTCAAATATTAAGGAAAACCAATAATTTGTTATATTTACATTATGGACTCAAGATTTTAAAGATTTATATAATATATATATATGTAGAAAGTATATCAAATATTTTCAAAATTACTATGTATGTATTTATTTGCATATTTTATTCTAAAGGTATTTCAACGCTACTAATACCATTCATGAAATTGTTATATGCGTTTCATTCATAATTTTCGGCAATAAGTTTTATGCATAAGAAATAATTTACAAATAGCTAAATCTAATTATTTTTAAATTTTATTATTATTATAATTTAATTTTTTTTAATCTAATACGATTTTTTTCTATTTCAGACGAAAGCGCACCTGGACGTTCTCGCCGACGCGTTGCTTCGGTGGGCGAGGGGTCGTTAAGCAAGTCCTTCACAAGAATCTCCCAGAAGATTTCAACTCATCCAAAAATATAAAAAAATCAAATAATGACTAAGGCATAGAAAAACCATTAATATATGTATACATATATATGTCCAATTGCCTGTCCTATATCTATACATATACATTAAAAATATTTAATGAAGGAAATTAATTGTAAATACACAAACTCATACATCCACATGATGAATCATATGCATAGGTATATTAATACACAGAACTACGGCGCCTTTTAGTATCGACTAGATACATTCTCTATTTTATAAAAAAAAATATGTAAAAGAAATATATGACATTCACGAAGTCCAGATGACAGCTCTCTCATGCCTGACGTTTGATTCCGGCAGCTAGTGCATTGGCACAGCGCAAAATCCGGTATGAGAATTATAACTAACCACCAGAAAAGCATTTTTTCTCTTCCTAGCAGACTGACAAGCGCATTTATCTAACAAGCTGAAATTCTTAATACAAATCAATATAAAACGTGCAACGACGATTCGCTTTCTCATCGGACCCGCGAATCAAATCCGTACCCCCGCAACCCTTGGGGGTGCACGCGAGAGAGTTCGAGAAAGAACAGAACGTACATAAAACAGTATATATTTTTTCAAAAATATATTTTTGTGGATATTTAATAGTAGTATTTATACAAATCAAACCCAAATAAAACCCCGTAAGGCCGAAACAACAAAACTAATAAAAACCGGGTCCGATGCGATAATCGCGTTCGGCGTCGTCATTTGCAAGTGATTCCGACGCGATAAAATCATCTTCGCCCGAGACAACGCTCCTACAGCAATGTATTCTACAGATACTTAAGGTTCCGAAGGATATGAAGTCGCGAGACCATCAGACATTGAATCGCCGACGGCACCGCAAATAAATCAGCGAGTGTCGCGTACGAAACAAATTATGGAAAAAATGGAAAAAATGGAAAGCTAATCCTCAGCATTTACATACAAATTCCCCAGATACATTATATTATCAGTGTTGTCATTAAAAATAAATTATCTTCTAGATAAAGCTCAAAATATCGATTATATTATGGCTAATATTATATTTATCTTTGTCGTTATATTTATTCAACTCAGATAAGTATGAATACAAGAAAATTCTTTAGATGATTAGATATACTTCTTTGTGTATGCATTAATGGTAATAATTCACACCAGATATGTGTATTTGTAAAAGCGAAGGCACGCGATGAATGATGTCCGGTGCTCGAGTTATGTATATATAATAGTTATATTATGTACACAACATCAAGCTGAATGTCAGTTAATCAGAAGAGAAACAAATGAAGATATCGATTTTGGCCTTCATTTTGTTCAAAAGCAGTCGTCACCGGTCATGGGTTCACGACGCGTAACGCATTTTTTCCGCCTTGTAATATATGTGCGCTGTGTGTAGTGTTCGGAACTATCATTCAAGATCATCTAGCACGCGTTAGCTTTGTATTTTATTATATTATTTCGCGACCAGGGAATTAAGTAAAGCGATCGATCAAAATCTATTTCACACCGGCGGCCCGCAGCGCTTAGCGGCGCGGACAATATTTCATACATATCAGGAATTTATAAGGTAAATAAGTAACGTGTACTTTTGCGCAATCAAACACGACTCCACCGCATCGGCGACCGTTGCAGAGCCAAAGGCCAACGGGCAACGGGCACCGATCGGCGGGCGGCTGAGCGAGCCCAGGTGACGCCGGTGAAAAATTTTGGTTGTGAACGGACAAATTTTTCACTACGACCTGGCGGTCTTAGGAAATTTGCGATCGGCGAGCGTTGCAGGGCGTCGGCCGGGAGAAAATTGGTCGGGGGGCGTCGGTATCATTCCTAACGCGCGGTGCAACCGAATCGTATGTAAAAATTGCGGACCGGCGACGACGTGCCATCTCTCTGTACAGCGCGGAATTCAGACAGTCGTTTGGTTTGATTTGGTTAGATCATCGTCATTATTATATAATTAAAGTTTATCAATGGAGAAATCTAGAATTGGATGTGTCCTTACTTAGTCGTCGATGTCTTCTCGTATGTGCGATGCGTCGAACAGTATGAACGCGCGTCGTTACCAACAAAAGAGCCCGCGCTGTGGCAATAGGATTGGACGATCGGAGGACATGCCGTGGACATGATGATGACCAGGTCCGTATCGGGCATCGTGTCCGTTCGTCCGTTCACTATGCGATGGGAAGGATACTGCGAATACCTCCCATACTCCCGGCAGCAATCACCGAACGCCACTCGACAGCGGGTCAACGCTTCTAGTCACTCTTACTTGTTTACCCTAAATACATATATACTCATTATGCGACGTTTCTTGTGATAATATTTGTATATTGCGCGCAATTGATGCGAGACTAAATGTAATTAGTTATTTTGAGATATTTTATAAATATTATTATAATTATTACCATTATTATCATTATTACTATTATTATCTATAGTTAACATTATTATCATTACTGCAATATATGACTATGTATCGACTATGTTCATGATCACTTCCCGTGTGTTCACACGTCCAAAGGACTGACACGGTCATCCATTGTTCCATCATCTATCATTCGTATGGTAATTGTAATATGTCACTGTATATCAATCAGAATAAATAAATTATTATTTATATACATATATATCTGTAAACGAAAATCAACCCAGGCCTATGATTTATTCTGTTATGATATTTAATAAAATATAACATTTGAAAAGTTTTCAATGTGCGTGTATCATTTCAAGTTTGAGTTGTTTTTGTTAATTCTAAACAAACGTAAGTCAATCAAATCCCTGTTATTATTAAAAATTGAATTTCCACATAATGTGCTACCTATATCCTCTACGGTAGTCCTTAATATGGATATTATTGAATTTCTTTGTTTGAATTTTTTTCACGTTATTTCCATAAAAAACTTTTGTTGGATTGCGGACTATCTTAAAATAAATATCAGGAGCTAAAACTTTCAGATTTTTTTATCAATTTGGAAGCATTTGAGCCCTAATACTACCCTAATACGAATACCCGAAATATTCACTTTTATATGGTTAAAATCCGTGATAGACAAAAATCGCTATAAAAAAGCTCTGTCAGTTTTCAATCGAATAAATAACAAACACATTGAACAAAAAATAAATATTAATATATTTAACATCAAGCAATTTCAATATAATGTTAATAATAAAATAAACATAAAAAAACTATTTTACGCTATCAAGTATTTATAAACACTAATCAAATCCGTGATAGATGAAGCTTAACTAGTGGTGTATGACATCGTGCCTTAAGGCAAATTGCTAGAACTTAAATATGAAATGTTTTCAATTAGATTATCATAAATAATGTAACTTTTATTATTCATATTTTATAGACAAAATATAAGAACCTATAAATTGGACGACGACCTTTATATATGTTTACATAGAAAATAAATAAATAAAACTGAATCGAACAGATTTAAAATGAAGAACATTGTCTAATATTTATAAGAATTATATAAACTGAATTGCAACGTTAAAATTATTTATTTGAAGTATATACGAGTAGTAAGTGAGCTTTAGAACTTTAGCTAGAATTAATATATATATATATATATATATATATATATATATATATATATATATATATATATGGTATACACATATCAATTTTTTCTACGATATGTCAAAATTTTCAGAAACCTTTAAAACGTGAAGATATGCAAAAATGTTCAATTTCGATTTTTGGGAGATAACAATAACAATCTTTACGGAAAGTTAATAACAATGATGCTCTTTGCTTCGGTATTTCAAACAAACAAACTTATAAGCACAAAAAAATAGTTTTGATCATGAAACTAGAAGTTTTTATTTTATCTACATGTTTCCATCATAGGCATAGACTACTAGAAAATCGTAACTGTATATTTTATAGAGTTGTATTATGACAGTAAAACAATGCAAATGTTATTGAAGATAAAAGAAACTAGTAGTTTAAAGTTTTTAATTTTGTGTCAATGCAAAATCAATAAATTTCGTAAAAAAAGTTTTTGTTTCAAAAACCATGTAAGATCGAAAACGTGTAAAACGAGTTTGGTGTAAATCGGGGTATAGGTATTATTACCTCTTTCAGGTTTTAAATGATACCAAATTAGCATAGATCATGCCTGTGTTACACCACATTACTTCCTGATGTCGAGTAAAGCTTATTTGCATGAATTATAAACGCACGATGTAAACACTTGCAGAATAATGAATATAATTACATGCTTTAATTTGGGCAAGCTTACGTTTTCCTGTTAATACGACATGGTAATACTCATATCTGCTGACACGATGTAATGTTAAAATATCTAGAATTTTATTCAAATTGCTTTGACAACAATTATAAAATGGAACATAGAAAATATTGTTTTTATGATCAATCAGTATGCATTTCCTCTTACTTTTTCTTTTTCTCTAATAATAATTAGCAATCAGAATATATAAATTCTATGAGCTAATGTGTGACGTCAATAGAAAAAAATAATAATAATTAAAATACAAACAATGAACAACAAAGATACAAAACAAAAGTTATAAATAAATACAAAGAATAATAATTATAATCAAATAAAGAAAATAATTATGTTAGGATCCCTCCATTGAGTAACTATCCTAATTATAAGCGAAGAATGTGCCAGTATGCATATTATATATAATTTTTCAGTTGTGTATTTTTCTATACTTGATGTTGGCATATGTACTGATCAAGTCTAATAACCTGACATATGTAACATCAATAAAAAACGTTATTAATGTTATGCCAAATTAGTGGACTTTGTTAACTTTCGTAGGATAAGTTATAGTAAGCGCAAAAAATCGAAAATCAAAGTTTTATATATCTTCGCGTTTTAGAGGTTTCTAAACATTAATAATATATGTTCAGACACAATTTTTGTCCACGATATCGGGCGCACCGATCAACCAACTTGAATGATTCAAAAAACATTCGATTCTCATTGATAGGAAGTCGTGATTAGTTTTTGGTGAAGACAGGTCCAACCGGTTTGAAGATACAGGGCAAAAAGTGCAAAGAATGGTGATTCTGTTTTCAAGAATTGATTAAATTTTTTTGGAAGTCAGGCCCAGCGGTTTTAGAGATGCAGAGAAAAAGGTAAAAAAAATATTTGGCGGTCAAAAATGATCATTGGACATATGCACATCATATTATCAGATATTTTATAGAGATTTTAAAAATAAGCAC